ATCGCAAAAGAAAAATTGTAAGAACGAGAAAACAAGAAAAAGTGATATATATATATATATATAATATAAACAAAAATAAAAAATAGTAGCTAATGAATACAAATATTTTGTTTTTTTATGCGTATAGGGAGAAAATAGAAAAAAAAATAATAATAATAAAACGTAAATACGTGGAATGTATTAGTGATTACGTGCGAGAGTTCAGAATGAAGAATCATCGAAACTTATTCTTCAACTCTTACACGCGTAAAGAGAAAGTGAAGTGTGAAAAAAAGAACAACTCACAATATTTATCCGTTACGTTTATAAGATAATAAAAACTATGTTTATCTTCGTGTAATTTTATATATAATAATAATAATTAATAATAATATTTTAATAATAGTAATTAATTAATTAATTAATTAATAAAGTAATAATAAATCTTTTTAATCATTATCATTATCATTATCATCTTCGGTAAAGATGTATGTGTTTTTGTATGTATATTTTACGTATATGTAACTTATATATACCTGTGTGTATACATACATATATATATATATATATATACGTATACACGTAATTCAACGTTTAAATGTATCAATGTATGATACACTTCGTGCATATCGTGCACACGTTCTTCTAAATAATCATCATTATAATCGTAATCGTCTTATTATCATTTTCTTTGCTTCTATTTGTTTAGCTATTATAATTTTATCAATCACTCTTATAATCACTCTTTACATATTCGATTAATTACTAATATTTTCGAATAAAAGTTTATTTTTTTTTTTCCGATCGATCATATATAATATGCTTTTTTTTTTTTTGGTTTCACGAAAAGATCGTTCATTTTCTTTATTTTTTTTTTTTTTTTATATTACTTATATTTATTTCTTCACACACAAATACTTACTTACTTATTTACTTACTTACTTACTTTCTTTCTTTCTTTCTCTCTCTCTCTCTCTCTCTCTCTCTCTCTCTCTCACTCTCTCACTCTCTCTTTCAATAACGAAATGATCGATACGGAATAAATTAGGCGCTAAATAAATATATAGTGATTATTAATTATTAATTATCGGATTATTTCGACGTTTCGCTGCCGATGACACACATTATACATCTCTATTTTCTTTTTTTTTTTTCTTTTTCTTTTTATTTTTATCTTTTACTACTCAACCCCACCGCCATTTTGTTTCTTCTCCTCTTCCTTTATACGCTCGTCCAAAAAACAATCGTTTGGTGGCCCCTTTCTTCGAAAAGAAAAAGAGTTATTATTCTCAACAGTATAAATGTTCATCTCATTATGACAATTATTATAATCATCATCATCATCATCATCATTATTATATCATGATGCGTAAGTTAGATCCGTGAGAGTTTTCTGTCTTGGGTTTTTTGTTTTTAAACGCTGTAACAAACGTGCGATTTTGTTTTTCATACACGATTTCTATACGAGTTTGTATTATCATTTTTTAGTTTTCTTTTCTTCCTTTTGGTTTTTTTTTTTTCTTTTAAATTCTAAGCGACTTGACTACGCATAGTTACATATATATATATGAATGTGTATATATATATATATATATATACATACACATTCTTGATGAAGCTAATATAGTATACTTTACCCTTACATTCCTTTCTCTTCTCACGTACTACATCATTGAACCTATTTAATCTATCTTTCTTTTTATTTGCCAACTTTTGCCATCCTTTCTCCGTTTATATTTTTCATCTTTCAATATCTCTCTCTCTCTCTCTCTTTCTCTTTTATTCTCTCGTGACATTGTAAATTGTTAATGCAAAAATACTAGACAAATCCCTGTACATAAAAACCTTTCGAAGTGATGCGCGTGATGTCCTTTTCGTTCACACCATTTACCCATCGTCTGGTTTTTCCTTTTTCTTCTCTTCTCTTTCTACCATTAACATTTTTCTTTATTTTCATTTGGTTTTGATGGATCTTAAAAGCATTAAACCTGCATTTTTATTTATTTTCTTTCTTTCTTTCTTTCTTTCTTCTCCTTTTAAAGTTTTACTTACAAGGTATTTGGTTTGCTTTCGTAATCACATCATAATCATAATCACCATCATAATTATCATTAACGTCATTATAATCATCATTATCATCATACATCGTTCTTGACACATGCAGCAGTTCCGTTTATGTATATAAATTATGGTAATGATTCGGTATTATTATAATTATATGTAATATATAAGTATTATTAATATTAATATTCACCTTTTTAAAATGTTCTTCTTTTAATCTTCTTCTTGCTTGTTTTCCTATTGTTGTTGTCACTTTTGTTAGTCGCGAATTTTCATTATTCATTCACACGCATTCTTTACCTTTCTCTCTCTCTCTCTCTCTCTCTATTTTTTTTTCCTCAAACATTATTCGCTATCGTTAACACGCGCGCGCGCACACACATACACGTTAATACACATTCATACAAATGACATACACTCAACTATTATCATCATCATTATTATTATTATTATTATTATCATTATCATTTTATTATCATTATTTTTATTATTATTAATATTAATATTATTATTATTATTATTATTATTATTAATTATATTATCATTATTATAATATCGGTCTGTTGAGACAATCCAGTTGGGCCAGTTGGGGCCTGCCGTTATCATCAAAAAGTTCACGTCATCACTTCGGTTGAATAACGTTCAATCATTTCGACGTTTGTTTTTATCTCTTTTATATTTTGCATTTTTCTTGTTGTTGTCTTTTTTTCAAACAACGAAAGTCTAAGTCATAGTCATCAAAGTGAAAAATCGAAGGAATGATAATAATTATTGACGAGGACAACCAAGCTGCGTTTTTTTATTTTTATTATTATTATTATTATTATTATTATTATTATTACTATTATTATTACTATATTATTATTATTATTATTATTATTATTATTATTATTATTATTATTTTCTAATATTCGCGTACGTATGTATATAAGTATGTTTACTTTTGTGTGTATGTAAATATGTGTGTGTTTGTTTCTCTCGGTGTTAAACGTGCTAAAATATAAGATTTTTCATTTTCGATATATAGGCAGTACTGTGGAATATAGTTATTAGTATAATCAGGCTCTTTTTTTCTTTTCTTCCAATACGAGGAGAGAACAATCTATCTCTATCTTGGTTTCTTTCTTTCTCTCTCTCTATCTATCTATCTGTCTATCTATCTCTCTCTTTCTTTCTCTATCTACCTTTAAATCTCCATTTCTATCTTTCTCTCTAACTTTTATTACAGAATAATCAAAAAAAAAAAAAAAAAAAAAAAAATAAAAAAATAAAAAAAAAAAAAAAGGAAGAAAAAAGATTTCTTTTTGTAATGACAAAATA